GACAGTAGAGAGGAGAGCCTCCCAGAGTGCTGGGATTAGAGGGTATGTGCCTGGATGACATCTGTTGCTTGACTCCCAGCTGATTGTTTTTTGAGAATGTGGGTCTGATGCTGCATCTTTGGGGTTTCCCACACATTCACAGGAAATGCACAATTTAAAGGGCAGTATTATATCCTGATATGAAAAGGTTAACATTAAATTCACATTTTAAGAAGTAAATACTGGAAAGACTACACAGACGTATCCGCAGGCAGTAGAACTTTAAGTCCGTATTTAAGTCTACAAGTACACGTAAATAAACATTTGAGTATTTTCTACTTGTGCTGGTAGATAATAATCTCCAACCTGAATCAAAGAGGCAGTAGGATGTTTTGAGAAGTGACATGGTTGAATTGTCAGTTCTAAAATTATTTTGTGCTTTGTTTAGTATAAAGCGTATATTTTGTCCCTTTTTTGTATAAGAAAAGATAAAGACCAGAATTGCTAACGTGACACTTTTGTTTGTAACAAAAAGCTTGTTTTTTGTTTTTGTTTTACTCTTTTGAGACAGGATCTCACTAGGCTGGCCTCAAGCTTGTAGAGATCTTCCTGCCTCAGCCTCTTGCTACTAGGATTATAGCCAAGCCACCATGCCCAGTTATGAAAAGACAGCTTTGAAGCAATGGTTATAGAAGACTCAAAATATGATTTTATTTCTAAGTTTTAGAAATTTAAATTTTTCCTGAATTAAGTAGGTTCTGCCAGGTACACAGTGAAAAATCTCAAGCAAGACCAGGTACAAAGACATGTCAGCACAGCAAGGGAACAGTAGAGATGATCGTCTTAAAAGCAACACTGATAATACAGTACAGTCCCATTTATTCACTGATTTTTTTTAATTAATTAGGAAACTGGTTTTTTGTATTTTGTGTTTTATATAGCAAGACACATAAAAATGCCAGTAGTAAAGTTTAATGTGTAATAGAGGGAACGTCTGTGAGAACCCAAAAGAATAATGAGTTCTACCACAAGGAACTAGGTAGAGCTGATGACAGAGTGCAGGCATTCTATCCAGAGAAACATACACACGGAAGACATAAATATGTGTTGTGTTTCAGAAACAGTGAGTAGTATTGAGGGACAGAATCTTGCAGTACCTGGCAGGGAATGTATTGCAGATAAATCTAAAAGATAAATTTAAGTCTGGATGAGCCATGTGACTTAAGCCAAGTTGAAAAGTTTGGGCTTTTTAAAAAAAAAAAAAAAAAAAGAACTGGAAAACCAGTGAAGAAATCTGATTAAACAGGAATGACAGGATACGGTTGTTTTGAAACAGAGTCTCGCTGTGTAACCCAGCCTGGCCTTGAACTCATGGTAACCCTCCTGCCTCAGCCCCCTAGTGCTGGGATTACAGGTGCACGTCCCCATGCACAGCCCAATTTTTATTTCACATCAAAGTGACATCACTCTTAAGTACCTTTGCCTGATATAAATACAATGCAAAATTTTTTAAAATGCAAGCCATGTAGTAATTTTAAGTGTTCTATTAGCCACACTAAAAGTGGATGAAATTTATTTTAATATATTTTACCTAAGCAAATATATTCATATTATTTCAACAAGTAATCCGTGTAAAAATTATTAAGAAGGTGTTTCACTTTTTTCATACTAAATCTTCAAAATCCAGGGTGTATTTTATACTTAGAGTACATCACGATTTAGGCTAGTCACATATAAAGTGTTTAGTAGCCGCAGATAGCTGGTGACTACTTTACTGGGTACTGCACCTTCAGAGCCCACACCGTAGATGGTCAGTGTGATTAGAATGAAGTTAGAAATGAGAGATTAGTCCCAGTGAAAAATGACAAGGGTGTGAACAAAAATGATCATAGAAGTGATGTAGACAGAGGTTTCAAAAAATGGTTTTTATGTACACTTGCACAATGCTTTGGTTTTTTTTTAACCAGCATTCAGTTTCTAGGACTCATCTGTATCAGCATGGGCAGCCATAGTTCCTAGATATTTTTTACTGTATAACTTTCCATTGCAAGAATATACTGTTGTATCTTACCAATTTTCCTGCTACTTTTCCCCTTCCCACTTTGATATTATAAACATTGTCACTGTAAACATTCGTATACTGTATATGTTTCTTAGTATGCATGAGGAAGGGATTCTCATAGATCTGTAGACTAGTAAATTTCTTGTGATAATTATATGTATTACAAATAATTCTCTCCTAGTTTATAGCTTGTTTTACATTCAAAAGCTGACTTTTGATTTTAAGTCTTTTTTCTGTAGTTGAAATTAATCTCTAGTGATCAGTGTTTTTAAAACATTGTAAATTCTTCCCTATTTGATCACAGATTTTCCTGTTTTATTGACAGGTCTCACTTTGTAACCCAAACTGGCCTCAAACTTGAGCAGTCCTCCTGCCCCAGCCTGTCAAGTGCTGGGATTATAGGCGTGTGCCACCATGCCTAGCAGATTTTCCTTTTTAAAGACTTACTTTTTATGTTTAAGTGTTACATTTGTTGAATAACCCTTATTTGTATTTGATGTGTACTATTGTCCAATAAATTGTCCTCGCTGAGCAACTTAAGACATTGATCATCTCGGTTTCTATCAGGTGGAATCTGGGAGTAGCATAGCAGTGAGGTTTCCCTTAAAGTTGCAGTCAAGCTGCTGAGCACCCTTGCAGTCATCAGCTGGCCTGTATCTTACTCACGTGACTTTGACAGGCCATAGAGGCTGCACTTCTAAGCTCAGTCTTGTGGTTGTTGGTGGTCCGTGGCTCCATGGCTCATGGACCTCTCTATAGGTTGCTTGAATATCTTTCCATCATAGCAGTTGGCTTCCCTCAGGTAGTGAGTATGTGCCCAGTGAAAATATAAAACAGAAGTTGCAGTCTTTGTGTCTTAATTAGAAGATACCCATTTCGAGGAAAGGTGCTAGGTCCATTCCACACCTAAGGAAAGGGAAATTACGCTCCACTTCTTGAGAAGAGTTGTCTTAGAGTTTATGAACATGTCTTTAAAATCATTATATGCCTTTCATCAGTGATCTACAATGCCAACCCTGTTAGATATAATTTGTCTATACACAGTAACCCATTTCTGGCCTATTTTGTTCTGTTGGTGCAATTTGTGTATCTCATTTTTTTGTTTGTTTATTTATTCTTTCCTAATACCAAATGTGAGTTTCTGGCCAATACTTGTTTTTTGGCATTTTATTTTAGTGCTTATTTACTCTGAGAAATTACCCATTTTTCTATCTTTATCTATGGTTTCTTAACAGAAGACCCCCACCTGTGTGCTAGATATCACCTCAGGCTCTCATATCTGTACAAGCAGATCTTTTTTCACATATCTCTTCTTTATGGGGAAAAATTACCTTGATAGTTGTTATGATACTGATTATAGCACACAAGATTCAAGATCCTGGAATAATGTATTAGAGGCGCTAGTATTAAATGTGTTAGCTTTTCATTACTACAGCAAATTACCAGAGATTATTAGTTTTTTAACAAAACTTTATTTTGGCTTATGACTTCAAAAGTTCAGTCCGTGATAAGTTTGCCTATTCACTTTGGACCTGTGGTGAAGCAGCACATTTGCATTGAATTTTATCTACTACTTCCTGGGGTTTTGACATTGAGCAAACAGAGTTCCTGACCTCTTCAAGTTTCCATTCTAGGGAAAGAAACAAGCATGGTGTCAGGCAATGATAAAATTATGATGGAAGTGAAATACAGCAGTGTGCAGATGAAATAGTTACCCACGTTCCTTATTACGTGATGTGGGGAGGGCATACCCTCTCATAAGAGCATTTTGGAACAGGGGGCAGTGAGTTGGGTTATTAAACCATTTGTTCCAAGGAGAGAAAAGTCATTAGAAAGGCCCTGAGGGAGAAGTTTAAGAAGTAGCAGGCAGACAGTTTTGTGTAGAGAGATGAGGTAAAAGAAAAAGCAATTTGAGGTCCAAAATACTCACAGAAGAAAGAATTTTATATGAACTTTCATTTTTATTGGCAGATTTCAAAAACCATTGCAGGGGTTTGAGGAGAGGATAAAGTTTTCTAGAATTAGTTTTTAAAAGATAACCTTGGCTGCTGTGCTCATAATAGAAATTGGAGCAAGGACAGAAGCAGGGGGATCATTTAGAAGCCTGTTGCAAAATTCAGGCAAGAAGTAGTGGTTAGATCAGGATGTGGTGGTCAGATTCCAAGTATATTTTGAAAATAGAGCCGTTAGCATTTGCTAAAGGAGCAGGTCCTCAGTTACAGGTATTATAAAGTATCTGGGTTTTTAATTTTGTTTAGAAGAAAATTTAGAAAACAAATAGAAAAGGAATTAAATCATTTCTCTTTTGTTGCCTTGAAAGGTGACCGATGGTAAAATTTTCATGCATGACCTTTCTGTGTATTCAGAGATGTAGAACATGTGCAATGCAATGTTTACGCAAACTTTACTTGTGGAAAACGTTTTTCTCTATTGTTAAATAATCCGCCAGCATTTTATATCTTTATGGCCCTTTATATGAATGAATTGTTGTTCGTTTCCCTGTCAACGCTTAGGGTGCTCCCATTTTCTGTTTCTGTTTTTTTTCCTGTTACACATAGCATTTGAGAGATCATAATTCTTTTAGGCATCTGCATGATCAGGAAAATAATTTTCCTGTTACTTTTTGGGACTTGGAAATCCATAGACAGTGGGGCTTCACAAACTCACGAAGTGGGTCTCTGAATTCCATATCACTGTTCAGTAGATACATTCATTTATGAGAGAATGTTATATGGACCAGAATATAAATTTCTCTATTACATTCAAGGGAAAATAAAATTAATTTGTTGAGACTTGGAAGTAAATTTTTAAATATTTTTACTCTCTACATTTAGTTTATGATTAACAGTTTCTAGAATGTTGAGCCAGTTTTTGATAGTCGATGTACTTATTGTTTTAATGACCTTTGAGTACAGTAATGGTTCTTTTTCTTTCTTCTTCTTCCCCATATTTTGTGTAGATTGCTGCCATTTTCTCTTTTGCCACCTGTGGAGGTTTTAAGGGCAAAACAGAAATTCTAGTGTCTTGTCCTAAATTATCGAAGGAGAATAAAACTGTTATAGCTGCTTTCGGTTATCCATTCAGGTGAGTGAATTGTTTGTTTTTATGATTTAACAATTCTTTTTACTTTCATAGTGAATCATTAATATGTTCAACAATTTATTGATTGTGTAGAGGGTATTAGAAAACTTTTTATTTCATACTCAGTTGTGATTTTTGCTACTCAAATCATAGAACAGAGACCAGTACCTGTGTGCAAACTTTTCCTAGTATGTAATGAAATAAATACAACAGTTGTGAATAAGCATTTACAAAATTTGATAGCAGCGTGACATTGCCTTGACATTTTTGTCTCATCATCCCAGGATGGATTAGAAAGGAAAAGCTAAAGACGTCTGTCACTTTAGTGAGAAAAACCTTAATATAGAGAAGTGAAAATCTAGATTTCTTACGTTTTTGCAATTATTGATTAATATTCTTTGTGGAGGTTTTTTGGGTTTGTTTGGGGTTTTTTTGGTACCAGAAATCAAACTCAGGACCTTGTACTTGGCCAGGCCAGGCAGGCACTTGTGCCACTGAGCTATATCCCTAGCCCTCTTTATGGAGTTTTTAAGATGTGTATTTACATGAGGTAAAGAATTCCTGTTTTCCCTAACACAAAACCATACTTTCTTACTATTTTTTTGAGACAGGGTATCAGTATGTAGGTGAGGCTAGCCTTGACCTTACCATGAAGTCCAGGCTGGCCTTGACTCTTGATGATCCTTGTGCCTCAGCCTCCCAAGTGCTGAGATTACAGACATGCACTACCACGCCCAATTCTTACTCATAAATAAGAATGAACATTTAGTTTTGAAATCTTCTGTGTGACTTCAGTATTCATTGGAAATTTTACGGATATGTTCATTGTTTAAACTGGTATATGAATCTTCTTCCACTTAACTTACTTGACCTAAAACTCAATTTTTCTGTACAATAAATTGAAAGGGTTACTTTTTAAAGATATTTTAAAAGCTAAATAAAACCTTATATATGTCACAAAGGTTAAAATCTTATATATGTCAGATACTAAGTGCTAACTAACCATCAAAGCCTTTCCATGTGCTATCCTTTCTGTATAATTCTGGAATCTGGAATACCAGCACATTTAGATAAAAGTGTTTTTGCAATTTATGGATAGGGGAAATGAAAGGCATTGTGATTTTTTGAGGTAACAACTAATCCACGGTTTAAAATGTGAATCATTGTTACAATTGCTTTCCTAGGGCTAGTCACACAGACTGCCTTCTAGAAGAGAATGTGTCTCAAACTGTAAAATATTTGGTGTAATCTCACCTAATCTGCTAGTTTTTTTTAATTGCAGGAAAGTAGTGTCTAAGTGTGAAAGTGTGTAATTCAGTCTATAGTCAATCTATCATAATCCATTTACCAGGTGTAATTCATTATGTATATTGTGAAAATTTTAGTTCAAGTATTTCAATTCCCATTTAAAGGAAAATGTTCTTAATCTATTTAGGGAGTATTTTTGAAATGTCATTTCAATATTCTTCCTAATACTTCTATATCTGTTGGAGAGCCCAGTAATTCATACATTTATTTGAGCCTTTTTTTTAATAGGTTGAATCAGGCATCATTTCAGTCATCTTCAAATGTGTGTGATACAGTTTGGAATAGTCATGTTCTCGTAGGAGATTACTCCTCTTCTGCACAATTCTATGTTACATTTGCAGTCTTCGTATTCTTGTATTGCATTGCTGCCCTTCTGCTTTACGTTGGTTACACGAACCTGTACCGGGATAGTCGTAAACTTCCCATGATTGTGAGTAAGCACTTTGTCTTTTTATATGAGCACAATTTACATAAGAATATATGTTATGTTGAAGCTAAGTATAGGTATTTTTACTGGAAATCAAAATTCTTGACACAAGTACAGTTCAACGTATTTTGGTGTTTATTGTGAAGTTGAGCTTTCTTTAACCCAGTTCTTTAAGCTTTTTGATGATTTCAGAGAAAGATTTTTTAACCTGGAAAAACTCACAAGTGATAAAGCTTATTAAATCGCAAGTGAAAAAATTAACTGGAAATTAATGCCTTTAATTTGAAGAATTGCAGATCATATCAGTAGTGTTCCTACTCCTGACCTTTTTTATCTTTCCTCAGAGGCCCCTTTATGCTTTTACAATATCTTACTGAGTTTAATTGTCTATATCAAGGATCAGGATTTGGAAGCAGAGTCATACTTCTACGTTGTCCGTGGCAGCTTTCTTGCTGAAACTACTTAATTTAAATGTGACCCAGATAGCTCTTATATTTAGCATTAGTGCCATCCATGAGCAATTTTGAATCTTTGAGATGCCAGCAGAGGATTTGGATTTGAAATCCTGATACCCTTCATGGCTTCAGAACTTACTGAACTAGAAATAAAATAATCTGTAAGGTTCAGGAAATAGACTTAGCCCTAGATTATCAGTGGAGAATCCAGGATAAGCCACGGTTGTAAACTGGAGCTTCACAATAAAAGAATAGCTTCAAAATCAGTGTTAACTTAAAGGGAGCAGAGGTATTTTTGTGATACTAATTATACCAATGTCTGCTAATTATTTGTATGTACCTTAAAGGGAAAGCTATCTAAATATGAAGAGATTATTAAAGTCTTGTTTACTTATTTATTTTTTATTTTTGCTGCCTGGATCATAAGGATGCAAAGGGTAAGTAAGGAATAAAATAGTCTTGTATAGAGCAGATTTATTCTGTTTCTTATGTTTTGAAAGACATAAGAAAACTACATATTTTCCTAAAATACTTCTTGGTTGTTAAATATCTTTCAAAAAGATGGGCATAAGTTATTTAAATTTGCAATGCTTATTCAACAGGAATTATATTTTATGAATCTATATCATCTTTAGACTTATCATTTTATTTCAAAAAGTGACTCTGATGAGCATATAGATGATTATATCTTGTTTCTTCAGAAGATGTTTCTTGCCTTGTCAATAATTGAAAAATAAATTTTAAAGAAAATTTTGTCTAATAAACTTTTAAAAGTACTATACAGTCCCTCTTAAAGCCTCAGTTTTGGAGAGAGTTTTTCACTCTGTTAAAACTGTAAAACTGATGTAATTTACATCATTCTGGAAGTCAAAATCATTTTCTATTTAAAAATGGTCAGTGATCATATAAAGAGATCCTAGAGTTGGTTCCATAAATGTTTTTGTTATAACATGTAATGGATGCTTCTTACTTAAATTTTGAATTCTGCTTTTAATTTAACCATATAAAAAATAAAAGGCTTTTTTTAAAGATACCTAGATTTTTAAATATAGCCAAATATAACATTGATTTGGTACTGTTTATTAACAAAAAATATCCTTTTCAAGTAGTATTCTCGATTCTGTGCTAAGGTATTCCCAAGAGTATTTTAACTGTGAAATTTTAAATCTACTTCAGTTCTCTTTTAAGTAAATATAGTACTTCGTATGTATGTTAAATAGCAGATGCCTAAGGGTTCTCTAAGCAGTGTGTAATCAGGAAACAAAACCAAACAAAATGGGATAGCTCCAATTCTAAAAATCGGTAATGAATCATACCCTAACTTACAGGTAGGAGCAGGGCTGCCCTTGGCAGCTGCAGTTTTGCATTACAGAATTCCAGGTTATACTTCACTTAGATTGCACTGTGGCTACAGTCTACAGGAACCAGCTCTTTTTATTTTGTGCATCATTTTCAGAAAAGTTCCTGCTTTTGAACTAGAAGGAGGTCATTCCTTAAGCTATTAACGAAGTAGACTTGAAGAATGTAGTAGGAAAAGGAGAGAGGGAGAATAGTGTAATTTTTAGTAAGGAATTTGGAATACATGAAAATAAAGGGAACTTGACATAACATTGGTCAGAGGTATGACTTAGCCTAGAGAGAGTTGTTTAATGTATGATCACTTTGTATTATTTATCAATTCTCCAAAAGGCATGGCATTTCTAGCGCAAACAGAAAAGGTCTGTCTGCAGCAGAAGGTACAGCAGAGTACAGCACAGTGCCCCCACAGTGCCGAAAATGTCAGCTAAAGATACTTTAAGAGTTCAAATGCAAGACGCAGATACCTACATGTTTGTACAGGTGGTGTTTAGTTTTGATCTAAGCACAAGGTATTCAGTGCCGTCTTCACCAAGTGGGCAAGCTACATGGCATATCTTTTCTATCTCACAAGAGATTACAGATGCTTATCTAAATAAATGGCTTATTAAAGGTGACTGGCAAAGTAATTAAAATCTATTCCAGTATTTAAAAAACAAAATACTTCAGTGAAAATCCATAAAATTGTGTGCATTTAGATTTTTGTTGCATATATGAGCCTCAGGTGTATCCATCTGTTTAGAGTAGTAGTAAACCTGTAAACTTTATAGTACTCCTACTTTGGTTATTGAATTTCCAGGCTACCAAGCAAGGCATTATACTTTATATCATACAGATGGGTATTTAAAGTGTTACTTAGATCATTGTCATCAGTACTACTGAACAGAATTTTGTTTCCCCAGCAGAGAACATTAAGGAGAATAATTTTGCCCTTTTTCATTTTGTTGGTTTAATAAGAAACTATCCCAGATATTAAAACTTTTCATTTTACTCTTGGAAGTGTAATAAATAGCAAAGGATTTAGTGGAACATCTAGTAATAAGATGTCTTGGAACACTTTTTGGGTTTTTTGTTTTGTCTTTTTTTTTTTTTTTTTGTCTTTTTATTTATATGGTGAGCATTCTTAAAATTCATAGCCATGAATTTTTTAAAAGCTTAATTGTATTCTTTTCATCCTCTCATTGTCATCTCATAGAGAATTACATTTAATTAAAGTTAGGATTTTACCAAAACAGTATGAAGAAATAGGAGAAAGATAGGACATAGAGAAATGTATGCAAAGGATTAACAACCCTAAGCCATAAATTAAGGGACATGAGGACATGAGTGAAGTTTAGAGATAGTAAAAATGTGGTAGTGTCAGATTGTAGGTCTGAGGGGGTCAGGACTGTGGAGATTGGGATGCCAGAGAATGAGTGGGAAGGAGGTGCTGGTAGAGTGGGTGATCCACACTTCTCTATGGAAATACAGAGTTACTGATAATGAGGGGGTCTAAGGTATGATTTTGGGAGCAGGTGACTCAGGTAAGAGAGTGGTGAGAGCTGTGGAATGCTTTGGTTTCTACCGTAAAAATCATAACACTGTAGAAAAAAATGAGTCTTATTATCTTGTATCTCAGGTACTAATGCTAAGTATGACCTTTTTAATAAAGTATGAATAGGCCATTTTTTAGTATCATAAAGTTAAATGTAATCTCAATTTTTTTATGGTGGATTAAAATTTAATATTTTTAAATTGACTGTTCTTTGCTACTGTTTTTGTTTTAGGACTTCGTTGTTACTGTCATTGCCACTTTTTTGTGGTTGGTGAGTACTTCAGCCTGGGCTAAAGCTCTTACAGATATTAAAGTAGCTACAGGTCCCAAGATTGTTCAGGAACTTCTGCCGTGTAAACAGCAAGTACAGTGTCATTTTGTCTCTGTGACAAGTATGGGATCCCTAAATGTATCTGTGGTATGTATGCTGTATTTTTACGGTTTTTAATTATCAGTTATTAAAAAGCAGTAACTTCTAATAAATCTCTGGATAAATATATTGATTTTTATTTATACTAAGCAATCAGGATCAGAGTTACCATGTAATGTTTACTATTATAAGTGAAGAAAATTTGTTGAGAAATTATCTGTGAACAAGTTTGACCAAGATCTGCTTGAGTCTTACGTTTCACTAAAATTGACAGAGCAGGACTTTTGCTTGAAAGGCACTAATCATAGTCACTAACTTTTGTTAAAATCATGTACCAGATATTTGCTATCATATATTAGGTTATATAACCACCATAAAAGGAATGTGGAAGGTGGTGTTATTTTCAAATATGGCAGATCACCCAAGGGACTCAGCTAGTAAGTAGCATGCCAAAGTTTGAACCAAATCTGACTTTAGAGCTTGCCTTGTCAATGTGACTTACCCAAGGTACATGAAAATACTACTTCCATGGTTTTTAAAATAATCTATAAATTTTAGTCTATATTAAGTATTACTTTATCTGCCACTTCAACAAAATGCAGTTTAGTTTATTGTTAAATGTATTGTTAATATATGATATTGTATTATGTTTAGGGAGGTCTCATGTCTTTTAAAGAAAATGTCTTCTCGATAGAAGTCAGTACTGCCTGACAAAGCAGTTGCCCCAAATTTTGCTTTGTTAAGTTCGTGATTTAGAAGTCAGTATATTGATACTGACAATGCTTTGATCTGAACAATTTCAGAAGTGTTTTTGTATATAAATATACAAAAAGATAAAGCATGTGCCCTGATATAGTCCTTTACAAATAATATTGTTAATATCTGTAAAGGACTCTGTTAAAATGAAGTAGCTTCAGCTTATTCATCTCTAATACTTCTAGTCAGATGCAGATCTGAGAAGATTACTTTCTTTGGCATCGATCAGTGCAGAGTGGGAAGCAAAGTTCTAGACAGCTGTTGGGTTGAAGTAGAGGAGGTGGCACTGGGGGAAAAAGGAGGGAAATAGGAAAAGATACGCAAGACAGCTTGTAGCCATTCCAGTCAGGAGAAACATGAGAAGGGCCCAAAGAAGGAGGCCTGGAAGGATGAATACAAAGTGATTAATACAAGTAGTTTCAGTGTTCTTATTTTAATTTTTTTTTTTTTTTTTTTTTGGTACGGGGAGTTGAACTCAGGACCTTGCACTTACCAGGCAGGCATTTGTGCTACTGAGCTATATCCCCAGCCCTAATGTTCTTATTTTAATCCCATAATTTTTATAACAATGAGCATGCAAAAATAAAAATTTTTAGGTATGATTTTTATGTGTTAACAGATTTAGAACTTTAGCTTTATTTAGTTGGGAGTAAGTCATATGTCCAAATTTTATACATGCAAGAATAGTCTTCTTTATTCTACTTCTGAAATAAAACAATGCACTGCCTAAAGTTAAAAAGAATACTAAACTGGTTAAGCATTAGATTTTTCACATTGATTTTTCTCTTTCCTAGATCTTTGGCTTCCTGAATATGATACTGTGGGGAGGAAATGCTTGGTTTGTGTACAAGGAGACCAGCTTACACAGTCCGTCAAATCCTTCTGCTTCCCATGGCCAAGGAGGGGCTGCACCTCCTCCCGGAATATAACCCAGAGAGAAATACACTGAACCAAACTTGTGTCTGTACCATGACTTGTTGCCAACATCTTGAGAAGCGTTTTTTTGGGAGTTTTTTGTTTTCCTTTTTTTTTTTTTTTTTTCTAATAAAAGTAACGGCTTTTCCAATAAATTGATGGGTTTTAAATTTTGCTGCTTTTTTTACATAAAACTTGTGCCTTTCCTAGACATCTAAGAGTAAATGTATTGTTGCATGTAAATTTGAAAGTTCAGGGGTCTGTTATGAGATGATACATGTTTTTAAATGAACAGTAATTTTTTCACTTAAGCTGTTCAGCTTTCAAAGTGTTTACAACCTTAGGCCTTAGCATATCTGTACTCAAAAAACAATTATTTTGTCATTTCATAATAGGAAGAAAATCTTTATTTGGAATATACACTACTGTAAGTTTGTATAAATCATATACCTAAGACCTGTCTTTAAGAAAGCCTTAATTACATAAAATGTATTTAGAGGAAACATTTAGTTCAAATTTTGTGTCTGAACATTGTTATGTTATAAAAATGTTTAGTTGCAAAGACTGGGTATATGTTTTGTTTGTGTTTCGTTTTTTTTTTTTTAAATGACCTGCTGTATTTAATAGGTGTACTAAAACTGTTAGAATTAGAGACTTGGAAATGTCTAACAGAGGTGTAGTTAATTTAGTACTTCTGTTACATGAGGTCTGAGCTATGCTGGTGAGTGGCTTAATAGGCTTGCTAGAAGTGGAAAGAACCCACTTCACCTACATTCTTTATGTGGATAGGCATTGCTCTCAGTGATGTATCTGTTGGCTCTCTTGTTACTTATGCCATGTAAGTGCAGGTTGGGACCTGGTCTTCCAAAAGTAGTAAAATAATATACCCTTTTTTGCAGACCTTATTCAGAGGGTTAAGAATATTACAGTAGCCTTTTACTTTTAAAACAGTTAATATTAGAGTCAGTGAAATTGCCTCTTTGAGTTTAACCTCGATATTGTGAAAATAAATGTGATTTGGATTTCATGTTAATATTCTTATTTTACAAATGGATGGTTAAGAAATTATGCATCATAAAAGAACTTAAGTGAGCAATATTATGAGTATACTGTCTGCACACACATTTGAGTATATTCTGTATAGAGTGCTTATTCATATTTTGCTTTTTGTTTTATAGAGATCTAGACTTCCTATTATGTGATTGTTTATTTGAAGCACATCTTGCTATTACCTTATTTTTGTTGCCTTTATTCCTGACATCAATGTCAATATGAGAATGTGTATGTTTTATGCAACAAAGTTAATAAAGAAGCTAAAAGAGTGCACTGACTGTTACATTACAGCCAAATCTTTATCTCAAAGCAGTTCAAAGGGGAACTATTTTCAAAGCAAGAAATAAAATTACAATAGTGTTTAAGCATTTGGCAGGAATAAAACAAAAACGCTTGGGCACTCTGCTTCTATTCCTTTTTCATTCAGTCTCATTTTAAAAGCCCTTATTTGTAATTATCAGGCTAAGTTTTCCTACTAACCCTCTTCTAATTGACTATTCAGTTAGGCAGCTAAGATTCCTGATTAAGAATATATACTCTGGAGCCAAACTGCCCAAATTTGAATCTTGTCTTCATCACTTAATACCTACTTAACTTCATGCAACTTACCCTTTATATGCTGCCATTTGCACCTGAAAAGTGTATAAGAATACTGACCTCAAAGGGTGTTTATGAAAATGAAATGAGTAAGTAAGTGGTCTTTAGTGCTCAGCACATAGTAGACACTGCAAGTGTTAGCTGTGATTACTGATTTTGGTAGCATCTATTGTAGAGATTTTTAACCTGGAACCTGGCCATGGGCAGGAGGACAGAGGGTGGTTTGGGGTAGAGATAAGCTTCAGTCTGACAAGCTCTTCTTATTGTACTGTGTTCCTTAATCCTGGCTAATATTTCATGAATAAAATTTATAAAATTATAAACGTACTTGATTTTTAAAATACTATAAATGTTCAGGGTCGTATTGCTACTTTGTTTCACACATCATTGTCCAATTTTAAATTATACACTTTCACATAAACAGGTAAGTGTACAAAACTAACAAATGCTTCATAAATTTCGGCTCCACCTTCCGTTCTTTTTGTTGGTACTGGTGGTTAAACCTAGGACCTCACACAGTGCTAGGCAAGCACTCTGCCAGTGAGCTACACCTCCAGCCTTCTAAACTTTTTGACCTGCCTAGGATCTCACTTAGTTGCCCAGGCTGACCTTGAGCTTGAGATCCTGCTGTTTCAGCCTCTCAAGTAGCTGAGATTACAAACCATGCTTGTATTGGATTTTTAAAAGAAAAGAAATCACAAAGACAGCCTTTTCCTTACTGAGTACAGTTACATTTCTCCTACCTTTAACTATACAAATAGTTAAGAAATAAATGTTCTGTTGAAATCAGGTTTTGTAGCACCTACCACTAGAAATGGAACTGTTAGAACGAGATGTGCACATTTTTAGTAGTAATCGAGATACTAACAAAATAGTTCAACAAAGTGCTTGTATAAATTCAGTCTTCCACCAATAATATGTAAGAGTTCTGTTGCTCCATATTCTTGCTAATACTGGATGCTGTTGGACTATTTGCCAATCTGATGAATTTGAAATAATGTCTTTGATATTTATAAATTTGTGTTTCTGATTTCTAGTAAGGTTATCTTTTCCAGTATTTATTGCCCATTTTACTCCTGTGTTCTGCATTGCCTGTTCATATCCTAGTTGCCAATTTTTCCGTTGTGCTTGTCTTTGCCCTGTTGATTTAAGGAGCTTTCAGTGTATTCCTGATTAACCCATGACATTTATACAGGTTACACATGTCTTCTCCCTGTTTATGGCTTATATTTTCACTTTTATGATTCTTTACACTTTTTTATGTTAATATTTAACTATCTTCTTTATGGCTTGTGCACTTTATGTCTTAACTCCTCACTGTTACAAAGATATTTATTTATGTTCTCTTCTGAATATATGTTTATTTTTCATTTAGGTCATTAAGTCACAAGGAAGTGTATTTTGCAGTATATATGGTTTGTGTAACCTACCTCAGGTTGTAAAGCCTACCTCAGGTTTTACACTTTTCTGTACTTACAGTTTTCACAGTGCCTTTTATTTACCTCTGTCATCAGATTTCTCATTTGCACCCCTTTCTGTATGCCTTACCATGTCTATCTCACCCCAGTAACAGTACCATATCTAGCTCTATCACCCTTTTAAGTATACATAGCTTTGCGGTATGAATTCCTGTCATAGGGTGGGAGCACAGCACATGATTCTTACCTTTGTGGATTTTCATTTACAAAGAGTTGCATTAAGTTTATAGATCAGTTTGGGGGGAACTGTCATTTATAATGCTGAGGCTTTGTATTTATAAACATGGTGTGTCTCTTCATTTATATCTTTTATGCCTTCCAATAAAGTTTTATAATTTTCTACATAAAGTTTAAGATTTACATCTGTCTTGTGACTTTTGTTGCTATTGTAAATAATGACATTTAAACTATTTTAAATTATACTTGTTTGTTAATGGCATACAAATACCTCTGGATTTTTGTCTGTTGATAGGAATATGAAGTAGCCTGTCTAAACCTTTCATTAATTTTTAAATAATCTGTAGATTATCCTATTTTTATAGGGATAATATCATCTGCCATATTGATACTTTGTTCTTTAATTTTGAAGTTAGATTAAATTCTTCTGTTACCTGTCTCATTGCATAATAACTTGCATTGCCATCTGTGAAAAAAAATATAAACTAGGTGTGGTGGCACACACCTATAATCTCAGCACTCAGGAGGCTGAGACAGGAGGATTGCTGGGAGTTTGAGGCTTCCCTGGGCTACAAAGTGAGCCCAACCCAGTTTCAAAAAGACTAAATAAATAATTGATTACAGACAATAATCCCTTTTTTAAAAAATGTAACATTACTTGGCAACAGTACTGTAAACTGTTTAGCACGCGAAGCCACAAATTTATACCATATTGTATGTTGGTCATTATGTAAAATTTCGTTTTGTTTTTGAGACACTCTCACTGTAGTTCAGGTTATCTTTAAACTCACTGTGTAGTCCAGGCTGGCCTCGAACTCGTGACAATCCTCCTGCCTCAGCCTCCAAAGTGCTGGGATTAAGGTGTGGGCCACCACGTCCAGTTTCAAATCAGTTCTTACATTGTAGGGCAAATAAGTGGAAAATACCACTTGAATTAGACTGATCAAGATAAAGTAATACTGTTACATATTATAACTGTCATACAGTTTTCCTGTGTGAGGTGAAGGTGTCTTCATGGTCACAGTCCCTTCAAAGGTTTTTAGGAGAGAACCAATTATCTTTTCAGCTTGTGGTGTTTGCTGACTGCCTGCCTTACCCCACATGGTTCCAGTCTCTACTCTGCCTTCTTATGTGTATAAAATCTTTCTTTGCTTTTCTTACAGACAGTGTCATGGCATCCAGGGCCCACTGGATTATCCAGAATAATCTTGTCTCAGGATCTTTCATTGCATCAGCAAAAACCCTTTTTCAAATAAGGTCATATTACAGATTCCAAGGGTGAAGAGTTGGTATTTGGGGGTGGCCAAATGTACCTACTGTACTGTTCAAAATACAGTTTATAGTCAAAATTTGTAACTGTAGTCATGTATCATATGACATTTCTGTCAACAACAGTTCATATATATTATGAACTGTCTATATACCATATAGACAAGGTGTATGAAAGGCTGTACCTACTAGGTTTGTGTGTGTGTATTCATTTTACACGGTGAGAAATCCTCTAACTGCATTTCTCACTGTTCTTAAGTGATGTGTGGTTATATCTCATGTGTGTGGATGTATATTCCATTTAGAGTTCTGTGTTGGTCCATACATTAGGTTATCACATTGCTTAAAGCTTCAATATGTTAACTGAAACACATGTAAAATAAGGATACAATGACTTGAAAAAAACGTACAAAATATATCAGGTGAGAACGAAATATATAAGGTAAAACAGCCTTACCTATTTGTGGTTTGCTCTTAAATCTGAAGGTTTATGTCTTTACCAAGTTTGGAATGTTTTCAGTCATTATTTCTTCCAGCACATTTCACCCCCATCCTCTCTCCTTTCCTTGTAGGGCTTTAATACTGTGAATGTTAGATTTCTTTCATGAGAGTCTCGCAAATTGAGACCCTTTAAAAAAATAATAATAATGCTTTTTCTCTTCAGGTACTAGCTGATTTCTGTCTTCCAGCTCACCGATTTCTGTGTCTTGTGCTGTTGAGTTCATTGAGTTTTTGGTTATCATATAATTTCTTTAAAATTTCCATTTGATTCTTCATGAGACTTTGCTGAGATAATTTTCTCATTTGCTTCAAGCATGACTGTAGTTTCTTGGTGAAGCATTTTTATGTGACTGATTCATTTTTATATGACTTAACAGGCAGTTGTAAAAACTCTGATGAATCAGTGCTGTCGTCCTTCTTCACCTGCTATCTTTATTTCCTTTGTTGGAGAACTGGTCCATGGTGTGATAAGTGATTTCAGTGAGGACCTAAGAATTCCCGATATTAAGGACGCTGCTCTACCCTTGTAACAGGCTTCCGTGGCCCCACACCCACTTGTCACAGCCTCACATTTAGCCTTGCTCCTGTGACTGGGACGCCACTGTTTCCTCCTGTGGTGTTTGGCTGGAGTAGAGCAGTTACTGTCTAAAAGTTCTTTGTCTTACTTGGCGGCCCCTTTCCTTCAGAGCCAGCATTTTGGGGGGCTTTTTTCCCTCCCAGTCTGCGTCCATTGCTGTTTCTGGGTCCCCAGTTTCTTCCAGCTAGCTGGGATTTCTGAGCCAAAGTCAAGCCCAGACAACATACCATGTTGTTTCTTGCGCCCAAGGACCCTAGCTAGTTTTCCTTCTTTTGTCCACTTTTCACAGACTTTGCATGTTTCTTATTTATATAATGTCCCATTTTAGTTTCACGTAGCAGGAGAAATAAGGAAAAGTACATCTCCAACTTTAGGGAAGCTGAAGTCCTTTTTATTTTTTAATTGCTGAACCATATGTTTAGTCAATGAAGTAGAAGGTGGACTTAGGAAAGAAAATGTCACCTCTCTCAGTCATTGTTTCCTCCTGCTGAGCACAATAATCACAATGTGGAATATAGAACGTTACAATGTAGAATCATCAAAATGTAGAAAGTTCTGACAAATTTTCTCTTTTCCAGGATTATAAGCCAAAATAATGCGTAGTTTCACTTTAAATCAGAGGTGGTATTCATGCTTCTGATTTTATACATGACCTAACAGGACATAAGTGGA